CCCCCCCCCCCCAACGGTAACCACCATCTCACTTTCTCACTCTTATTCTCTCACACTCTCTCTCTCTTTCTCTCTATCTCTCGCCCTCCATCGACGCCGGTATTTCACGGACGCGCGCGTTGTAAAAATCCTATAAAAGCTTCCAACACGTTCGACGATTTATTCCCTGATATATTACCCCGCGGAGTTTAATGCGCGACGGTAACGCGCGATTGGGACTTCGCCGGCGAGGGAAAGATCGGGGGTGAGCGGAGGTCAACGAGGAAAATGGCCCGACGCCCGGCGTCAGCTGGATTTCTCGCGCCCTGCGCTCACGCGTGCAGGAGAGAGAGAGGGAGAGAAAAGAAGAGAGAGGAGAGTAGCTACCAGCCTCTCGGAGAGATCTCTTTGCACGTTGCTGGAAAACTCGATTCGCCGCCTTACGGACGGAACTGTTTGCGCAGAAAGAGAAACTCAATTCCTGCTGAACGGGAAGACCAGATGAAAACTCAGTCGGAGTGAGAAACGAAAATTCGAATGGCAGGAAATAATATCTTCGTTATCGAGCATATTCGAATGTGAACATTCGGCTGCGTTAAAACTCGGCTGAGACAACTGAGATGATCCCGTAGGAATTTATTCGTGCACCGCCGAAACTTCGTCCAACTCACACAGGCAACGGGAAATTCAGTTGCACCGGAGGAATTGCGTGAATCCTTCGCGATCCCGCATAGAAAAGTTCTTGGGATCTGTTAATTGGAGGTTCACTCGATTTCCCAAAATGATTGTGGATTTTAATTGAAAAGTCTACGCACAGGTTCCGGTTGGAGGTGTGACGTTTCAAACGTACAATTTTAAGCGGGGAACATAAATAGATTCTCTTTGGCCACCCCAATCATTTTCCGGAAGATTTCCTCCGATTTTCACTTTATATTACGATTGATCAAAACACACGAAACTTTAGCTGGTATCCCGAGCTCTCTTTTCTCGACAGAAGTGTCTCGAAAAGCGGCATAGAAGTTACCTGATTGGCTGAGAAGCCACATTAAAGGCTTAACTTTGACCGACGGAAGAGAGTTGAGAATCCGTGACTTTTCCGGTTTACCACGTCCTTCCCTCGATCGCGTCTCCCTCGCCGTCTTCTCATTATCGCGCGCTCTCGGGATTACAGCTTCGCTCCCGTTTTTTACCCGGTAAAAAGTTCGCGCTTTTATATTTCCTCTGCCTAAAGCGGCGCTCCGGTCGTCCACGCGCGTCGTCGTGCCACGTACGACTGTCATGGGGCCGCGTATAAGGTGTTCGCCTGTCACTTAAGTGCCTGCCGGGAGCAAGTTCAATTACGTTGTCTGGAAGGTAACGCCATGCCTTTATCCCGGGCGTTAGCCGGCCAGGTTAGCCGAGCCGGGTTAGCGAGTCGGGAGTTAACGCAGAAATCGCAGATAAACGCGACGTGCGTATACCTGGCGTACGCAAACGTTACTCGTTATCTCGCGGGATCGACAGGACGCTCTCCACCGGCCGCCGCATCGTCGGAGATACGCGCTTCTCTCGCCGCCGCACCGCCCTTTGCACAAAGAGGTCCCGCGTCGGCTTTAATCTCCGATCGAAACGCGTCGATATTAACTCTCAGAGCGAGTACGTGATTTTCACACTCTTAAATGGATACTTTGCAAGCCGGCCGGCCGACCTGTACGATAAAATTGCACAAACAACGCGCTTTAATGTAACGTGTGACGGTACGTAATAACATCGGTGCATCCTTTTAAAGTTGCCCAATTCGAAGTAATAAGATAGGAATTTAAAACTTCACGTGATTAAAATAAAGAGGGACCTTCACCGAATTTCATTTAAATTAATCGATAATTAATCCTGTTGGAGTGGCCGATAGAAATTTCCAGCTAGATAATTTATCGTTCAGCAATAACCAAATCATAATGAATAATATGTGCATACGTTGGCACATTAGAGAAATAATTGTTGATTGATAAAAATGTTGAATGCAAGTTATAAGAAGGAGAAGCGAGAGAATTTTCTTCAACGCTCGTTTAACTGTTATTTATTTCCCACGTTAGCAACGCCGGCTGGATTAATCGCTGGTTAATTTAATAAGAATTCGACAGAAGCTACCCCAACCACCGTAAACAAATCTTTTTCATCGACCGTGTATAATGTTTATTATATTTTTATTAATAATCTGTAATAACTGCAATTTTAATAATTATATACATAATAATATGCAATATTCAATTCGATTAAATTGTATGAAAAGGCCTCTTTTTCTCTCATCTTCAAGAATTGTAAATATTATATAAAATATATAAAACATTATTAATTAAAAAATTAATCAAACAACGCAGTATGACACGCCTTGTTGCTTACAACATTCCGGCGTTCTCTCGTCCTTGATTGTACTCTTTACGTGAACCGGTACTTTACAGCGCTGGAGAAAAAGATTACACTATTTTTTCGGACGAGTTACAGAACGCATCCCGTGTCCAGCAGGAGAATAGCAGGTTCCCTGCTTGAAGATACAT